AAAGTCCTCTGAATCTTCCTTATCAAAACATTAACATTTCTTACTTACATTTCTATTTCTCTTTGCAAAAAACAGTGTCTATTATTTTTATTTGCTTGATCTCATATACTTCAGTCTTTCTCTTCTGTCCAAGTCAAGAGACAGCTCAACTCGTGGTGATATTCTTTTCTCTTTATATTTTATCCTATTGTTTCTCATGTTTCTATAAATCTCTGACTCATGTTATTTTTTATGTTTCAATTCTGGTTCTATTCTCAGTAATTGTTCCTGTTTTCCATCATAAACTGATAACAATATATTATCTCAAGAAGAAGAGTAGTAAACACAAGTAGTTGGTGCTTTCTACTATCTAGTGCTCTATCTCAACATGAAATTACTTACAGGTGGTAGTGTAGCTGAGAATCAGCAAATGAGAAAAACATTTGCCATGAGAAGTGTGGAAATATGTTGTATCTTCAGCTCTTACCTTTATACGTATCACTCTTATGATCACTTAGAAGGTGAATCTTCACTCTCATTGGCTTATATCTTCTCTGTTATAGCCTCTCTTTTTGCTTTTTATCAAGTATCCAATAAAGCTTGCAATTTTTCTAATTGGGAGTGTGTAGTTGGTGCACATGCTGTCAATACTTCAGATTGTGAGTGTTGTGATCATGATGTCATAATCAAATTTGCACAGTCAAGAAGAATCTTTCCTCATCCCATCTTACTTATTGCAACTCAACATTGCTCAACTCTTTGACATTAATTCATCACATTCAGCATTGATCAATTGTGAGGGATCAACTGTTAGGGATTTATAGCTTTGAGGTATTTTGCTTATCATTTCTTATTATATTTATTTAATGCTGTTGACCACTCTAACATTATGTTCTTAGCTTTTATCCTGAATCATTTGATAAGATACTCTATAAGAGTCAGTTGTGTAATAACGGTGTTTTTAGTTAATTTGTGATGAGTCCAGGTGATGAGATGGAATCATTCACAAACAAAAAATGAATGGAATCTTTGTGGTCCAGAAATGGGGCTTTGGAAAATCAGTCTTTTATGTTCCATGTCAGCTTACAATGATTCATTCCAACAGAAACACCCAGATTGTTTGGCCTATCTGGGAAGTATTAATAGTCTCAAAGCTTAATCTGATTAATTGTAAGAGTAAGCTGGACATTCACATCATTTGAGCTAGTGTAGAAGTCGGTGTGAATTAATGGTCGTGCAGTTTTGAAGGGTCAGCAAATCCATCAAAGGTGGCGCTTTAAAAACCCCCTTGGAGAATGCTAATTGGTTAATTAGCATTCAATTTTGATCACAAGATGTTGTTGCTGTTTGAATGGTGACAGGTCTCGGTGACATGTGGTGAGGTCCTGCCCCTGGTCCCCGGTCAGACCCGTTGGAGCTTGAGCTGAAGGAAACCAGCCTGAGCCAGACGAACGAGAGAGAAAAACGAAGGACGAAGAAGATAACAAGGCGATGGTAAGGTAATCACACACTTCACAGACGTTGCAGATGAGAGTAGGCTAACGATTTGACGCGATCAATCCCAGCCAGCCAGAGATGATGGCTGTTCAGACCACCCCACCCATTTCTTCGATGTCGACAGCCAAGCCGGGGACGACGGAGGGGGCGGGGCCGTCGCAGCCGACGCCAAGCACGACGATGCCGACGACAACGAGCATGGCTGGGCCGCCGGAGGTTGAATCGACGATCCAGCGGCTCTCCGAACACCGGAACGTCCGGGGAGTGATCATCCTCAATCGCGACGGCGTCGTCATCCGCTCCTCCGGCCCGGTCTTCCAGGGCAGTGACGGCGTCATCGTGCTTCGTAGGTACGCTTCAGAGGCCAGGAAAATCGTCGACGCCGTCGGGAGCTCCGTCGATCGCATGGAACTCGATGTTCGTCCCACCCCCATTCCCCTCTTCCTTTCACTTTTTTTTTCCACTTTTTTTCTGCTCTCTGGAATCCTTTGCACCTATATCTGACTTTTTTTTTT